AATGTTTTTGGTTTAAATGGAGATGAGTTCATTTGTGAAATATTCACATATTTTAGTGTCCTGATTTGAGGCACCTCGTTTTAGTTGGAAAAACGTCTCTCTTTTGCTCTCACTCTCACCCTTGATGTCTTATAGTCATCAAGAAAGAGGAAGAAACACATCCTCACCTGTCACCAGGAAGTTCACAGCAGCTTTTTACAGGTAAGCTCTTTTTTGAGTTTCTTTACTTTTAGTTTTGCTTGGTTATGACACTTTTAGTTCTTTAGAGAGTCACGTGACACTTTTAGACTCGTGTGATTGGCTCACTTTCAGTCAAGGAAAGTTTCAGAAATGATTCTGCTTTGCATTATTAATAGCTTTGGATCGCCTCGTGACTGTTGACACAGCAAAGAAAGCAAAGTTGAAAATGTTGGAACATGGGAGGGACGAGAAACATATCCGCTTTGCCTTATACTGTATTTTTCTGTTTGCATTGTCTGTGTGTGTGTGTGTGTGTGTGTGTGTGTGTTTGTTGCTCAAAGGCAACCTTAAGATCCCTATATGTCATCACTGTAATGCCTAAAAACTTCAAAACGTCGTCCTACACAAACATCTCCAACAAAAAGTCAACCGTCAGAAGAATAGAGCGGATTATGGAGGGTTGTAGAGAGTTTCCTGTCCCAGCCCTTTTATAAAACCACTGGAGAACTCTTATAATATGCATTTACTAGACAGTTTCACCTAATGATTATAGAGTTCTCCACTGGATGCCCGTGAGCAAACACTGCGCATTAATTTTTCAATATTTACTCCTCAGTTGGCTGCCATACCTAGTCATTAGGATCTTTTGAATGCGTTTTTTACTGCAATTCGAGGACATGAGAAAGTATGCAATTTCTTTCTCTCCATAGGAGGTTTCTTTTGTAACCCGACAAATATGAAGTATGAAAGTGATAATATGCTGCTGCAATTGGCTGATTTATGGAATGTCTGTAAAACTATATCGAAAAAATGGGTCAAACATGAGACGTTTCATTTTGGTGGGTCAAACTCAGATTATCAAAGTGTATTTATTCAGCCTGATCTCACGAGAAAATGTAAGTATTTTACATTTTGCCACTTTAGTGGCTAATACCTTTTTAAAAAAGAGGCGTGGCACCTAACCCCACCCCTAAACCCAACCGTCATTGGGGGATGAACAAGTCGTACTAAATTGTACGAATTAGATCGTACGAATTCATACAAATTAAGCTACGGTCACATTACAGTTTGTGTGTGCAAAATTCTGTCGTACGGCGCTGCGAAAGGGGATGGGATTAAACAAGCTTATTAGACATTTAAAAAAGCTAGTAATTGCTCAATTTTTTTAATTTCTGTCCAGAGATGTCATGTTTTGATCCTCGATTGTTCTCACGCAGTCAAGTGATGCGATTTCGCAGGTCACAGTTCACCAAGCTTGAACTTTGCACCGCAGTAACCTGCGAAACTTGACGCATGACCCCGCATTTCCGGTCTGACGCATTCGCGCGCATATGAATGGAAGTCTATGGAAGGAAAAGCCCAGTGTGACCTCAGCTTTAGCCACTAAATCAAAAAGTTACGAATCGCCATGAGATTGTGTTGATTTATTTACATTGAACGCATACTAAATGGAAGTATTTGCTTTAAAGGAGACCTATTGTGTCCCTTTTTACAAGATCTACAATGATGGTCTGAACCACAGGTGTCAAACTCCGTTCCAAAAGGGCCGCAGCTCTGCACAGTTTAGTTCCAACCCTAATTAAACACACCTGATCAATTGGGTCCTTCAAGCTTGTTTGAAACCTACAGGTTAGTGTGTTGGAGCAGGGTTGGAACTAAACTGTGCAGGGCTTCGACCCTCCAGGGATTGAGTTTGACACCCCTTATGCAGACGATATTCAACTTTACTCTGTATGTACACCTACTTCATCCACCCAAATAGACAATATCTCTGCTTGTGTAAAGAATATTAATGATTGGCCTACCTCAAATTCTCTGAAACTCAACATGGACAAAACTGAGATGATTTTCATTAGCACCCCAGCACTTACCAGCAATATTTCCAGCAGTTTCTCCTGTGAGATTGCTGGCTCTCACATTAAAACATCTACTTCTGTAAAAAAATGCAGGTGTAATCTACGACTCCACACTCTCTTTTCAGTCTCACATTAAATCTGTTCTTAAATCTGCATTCTTTCATTTACGTCGCATTTCCCAACTGCATCCCTTCATCAGTAGCAAGGATGCTGAGACGATCATCCATGCATTTGTCTCCTCACGCATCGACTACTGTAATACCCTTTTCATTGGTCTGCCTGCCAGCCTCATCTCCAGATTACAGTATCTTCAAAACTCTGCAGCTAGAATACTCACTCTTACCAAACGTTCTGCTCGTATAACCCCAATCTTGGACGACCTCCATTGACTCCCAGTTGCATACCGCATTAAATTCAAAATTCTCCTTCTGCATTTAGATCCATAAATAGCCTAGCTCCCTCATCTGCAACTGCTTGTCCCCTACACCCCAACTCGTTCATTACGTTCCGCTGACTCTGGCCTTCTCGCTGTCCCTCAGTACCGCCTCTCTTCAATGGGGAGCAGATCATTTAGTGGTATTGCACCCAAACTCTGGAACTCTCTACCAGGCTCACTCCGCTCTGCTAACAATATCTCTGAATTCAAATCCTTAATTATGACTCATTTATTTTCTGAATGCTTCACTTCTGATCTGCCAAACTGACTACTTTATCTGATCCACCTGCGCTCTGCTCATTTGTCTCCTAGATCTTGTTTGTGTAATTCCAGTTTGTTATATTTGACTTCCTGTATGTTCGTTTATCTTTTTTTCGCATTCTTTGTAAAGTGGCCTTGAGCTCTGTAGAGGCGCTATATAAATAAAATTATTATTATTAAGATGTAAAAAAAATCTCTAATGTCTTTAGTGTGTGTGTGTGAAGTTAAAGCTCAAAATACCACACACATAATGTTTTATAATGCTTTAAATCTGCCCCTTTTAGGCTTCAATAGTAATTGTGGCATTTTTGTGACTGTCGCTTTAAATTCAAATGAGATTTTTCAAAATAGGGCGGAGCTACAGCATAGCATAGTGGCAGATTCAACAACAAGACTGATGTCCTATGCTAATGAAGGAGAGTTTGTCACTAGTGGGTGGGGCTTTACCCCACTAATGACACGTACAAAGGGAGAATGTCAATCAAAGTGTTTCTGCAGACTGATTTTATCATGGGGATTAGAAACATTTAAATTAATACATTTTTACTATTTTGATCTGGTTATATTCACATACTGTAGCCACACGGCTGTGTTTAAACCCCTTATGAAAGTGATTTTTGCATAATAGGTGCCCTTTAATGTTACGAATATGTAAAATAATATATTAATGAGCATTTTAGGGCTGCGCATGTGAGCCCTTTAAAATTACTCAGAATATGCCTGACATGTTTCAATTGACAAATAAACAATTGTTACATGACTGACACTTAGTTGGTGGCAAATCATGATTTTGCCAAGTAGGATGCGATCCTGAACGAACATTTATGTTGATCCTAGAGCAGGCCTGTAGCCAGCCTGGTGAAAGGGGTGGTTCTTTTTTCTATTTTTTCATTTTATTTGCCTCATTTTCAAAGTGCCTGTTAAAGGGATAAAATGAAAGTTACCAATGCATAAATGGCTTTGGAGAAAAGTCGTTGTCTTTACACATGTTAGTCCAGTTAACAACTTTATCTTAAGAGAATAATCACAAAACGCTCAGAAATATTAAACGTAGAACATTATTGAGTATACAAATAAATAAAAGTCACTTTAATTCCAACAATTTGCCCTTTGTGTACAGTAAAGCGACTGTTAATATGGAAGTCACAATTATTTGCTTCCCTTTGAATTTATTTTCTTTTTTTTTTTAATATATTTTCCAAATTAAGTTTAACAGGGCAAGGAAATTTTCACAGTATGTCTGATAATATTTTTTCTTCTGGAGAAAGTCTTATTTGTTTTATTTCGGCTAGAATAAAAGCAGTTTTTAATTTTTTTAAACATCATTTTAAGGACAATATTATTAGCCCTTTTAAGCTGTCAATTTTTTTCAATAGTCTACAGAACAAACCACTGTTATACAATGACTTGCCTAATTACCCTAACCTGCCTAGTTAACCTAACTAACCTGATTAAGCCTTTAAATGTCCCTTTAAACTGTATAGAAGTGTCTTGAAAAATATCCAGTAACATAGTATGTGCTGCCAACATGGCAAATATAAAATAAATCAGTTATTAGAGATGAGTTATTAAAACTATTATGTTTAGAAATGTGTTGAAGAAATTCTCTCTTTGTTAAACAGAAATTGGGGAAGAAAATGAACAAGGGGTTTAATAATTCAGGGGGCTAATAATTCTGACTTCAACTGTATTTCACAGTCCAGTAATCGAATTTATCTTAATAGAAAGATCACAAAAAGCACACAAACATTAAGTGCAGATCATTATTAAGTATACACATAAATAAAAGTCATTTTAATCTTTACAATTTGCCTCTTGTGTACAGTAAAGCATGTGCTATTATGGATTAAAATGTCACAAATGCAAGATCCTCTGAAGAAAAGTCGCTCGCTACATATTTTACAGTAAACGACTTCATCTTCATCGAAAGTTTACAAACATTAAGAGCAGAACATAATACAAATACATAAAAGTCGTTTTAATTCCAACAATTTGCCCATTGTGTACAGTTAAGAGCGTGTTAATATGGAGTAAAATGAAAGTTACCAATGCATGATTGACTGTGGAGAAAAGCATCACTAAGCAGAGCAATATAAAAGCCATCTGTCCATGCTGGACGTGCACGGGAGAGTAGAAGATTATGTGCGTTGAGAGAGAGAGAGAGAGAGAGAGAGAGAGAGAGAGAGAGAGAGAGAGAGAGAGAGAGAGAGAGAGAGAGAGAGAGAGAGAGAGAGAGAGAGAGAGGTCTGCGCGCTGCACTAGTCAGTGTGAGACTCTCAGCACGCACCGCGCGCTTTTCTATCTGGAAACTTACGACAAAAGGATTCGTTATAAACTCCATTACCTTCATGTCGGCTCTGCTGAATATTTCCTCACCGATGCTATGGTTACCTTTATTACGGTATGTATCCTTTAAAAGTTTGTTTGCTGGGATCGTCTGTTTGCTGGGAGTCTGGAGCGCTCCTGGCACCGTTGCGCATTTACGCTGCTTCCCAAGTGCAATTTACTGGTGGAAAAAGTGCACAGAGTGGGGAAAATGAAAATGCATGTCAAACAAGGGGGAAAAACACGGTGTAATTTTGGGATAGAATCCAAAAATGTAAGCCTTAAAGCGTATGTGGAACTTTTGGTGCATTTGGGAAGAATGTGAGCTGCTATGCGCCTCTCGCGCCTCAGGCTTGAAAACCAGTACGGGCAAATTCACTTCTCAACTTTCAGAGATTGCTCTTCTCTTTATGCACAAAAGACAATAGACGATCAAAACTATTTTTATTTTCATTAACATTATTTTAAAAGCCTAACAAATTATAAATGAAGCGTAGATTTTTATATATGGCTGTAAATGCAAGCATCGATTTTTTTTTTGTTTTTGTGTATGCACTCTTAAAAATGAAGCTTGCAAAATAGTTAGACCACTGTATTAATAATTTCCTAAGAGAACTTTAGTGTGCGTTTTACTAAACTAAAGGGAATTTTACGCACTGGAAAGTTTCCATCGAAGTTCTCCATGAAGCTTTTTAAAGCGTGTGCGATTTGGAAAAGCTGATAAAAACAGCATAAAGCGCAAATGCAGTCTACTTGGAAATACTTTGCTCTTTGGTCTTTCCTCCGAGAGCTGGCTGAGATTGGCAGACAATCCCTAAAATAGATAATCCACATAAATCTGAGCTGGAGATGCATTGAGCGAAGCCCTTCAGGTTTTGTCAGTGGCTTTTCCTGTTCGTCCACTGGCATGTGTTTTTGCGCTTGTGTGTTTGATATAGCCTTGTGTACTCCTCCAGAGTGTGTTTCTGCTTATGTTATGCCTGCTGTGCGTGTCTTGTGCTGACATGCTTCTGAAAACGAGCATCTGTCAAATAAAGGATCCGACACTTAGGCTAAAGGGTTAATGCGAATCATTCAGATTTACTAGTGAACATGTGGCAGTAGAAATATGGGACATGCGGTTTTCTTCATAGTCTGAGATTATCAGAATTTGGGATATCGCATATTTCGGTCGCTCGGTCTAATAAAGAAATTTGATACTTATTTTATTTCGAGTTGAACATTCAGTTCCAGGTTCTTTGTATTGAGTTTATGTGCATAAACGGGTCAAAAACAAAAGATTTACTGTTGATGTAAATTGGTGTAACAGTAATTTATGTACCAAAACATTCGGTCAGGCACATTTGGAGCAGGAATCATCTGATGAAATATTAAAAGACTCTTTTGACAGTCAAATATTTCCTGGAAGAGAATGACTCCGTTAACACCAGAGTTATTTGATTCTAAAGTTAAGCGTGAACTGATTAAAAGTCCCTTCAGTGGGTCAATGAGTGTCTAAAATGTCTACTCATTGTATCTGTCATTTAAATATGTTTAGTTTAGCATCATCATTTAATCTTATGTACTATTTTAATTAGCACGTGTCAGAATAAGTTATGCTGGATGAAGAATGAAAAATAAACTAATAGTTTAAGTGTTTTTTTTTCAATCCCATATGGACATGGAAAGGAAATTAAATGCATGTAAACCCAAAACCTTTAGATGCAGAATTCATTTGATACATTTTGATTAGTTTGTATACATTTCATTTAATATTTTGTGAATCAAAATGGTTCATCTCATCTTTGACCTGTAACCACTAAGTTATCCCCTAACAAAGCTAAATTTTAGGCATTGAATCATGCAGAAATGGCGTTTTAAGCTCAAAAATACCTTTGGATACAATATTTGTTGGATAAATTGATCCATTTTTATACATTTCAATTTATATTTTTAGCCATCACAATGGTACATCTCATCTTTGACCTGTAACCACGAAGTTATACCAACAAAACTCAATTGCATGCACTAAATGTTGTAAAAAGGCTCTTTTGTGGTCACAAATACCTTTAGATACCGTATTTATTTGAATGGTTTTGATTAATTTGTAAACATTTCAATTGATATTTTGGCCATTAAAATGGTACATCTCATCTTTGAAATGTAACTACTAAGCTTTACCTGCAAAACTCAAATTGCATTCATTAAATTATACAAAAAATGTCTTTTAAAGGTTGAAATTACATTTAGATTCAGTATTCATTTAACAAATTAAAATTAAACTCTATACATTACATTTGGTATTTTGGCCATTAAAATGGTATATCTCATCTTTGACCTGTAACCACTAAGCTATACCAACAAAACTACATTGTATGCATTAAAATATGTAAAAATTGCATTTTGAGGTCAAAAAACCTTTAAATACTGTATTCATTTAATACATTTTGATTCGTTTTTTTACATTTTAATTGATATTTTAGGCATCAAAATGGTACATCTCATCTTTGACCTGTAACCACTAAGTTATACCAAAAAACTCAATTGTATGCATTAAATTATGCAAAAGGGGCTTTTTACAGTCAAAAATACCTTTTAGATACAGTATTCATTTAATGAATTTTGATTACATTCAATACATTTTATTTGGTATTTTTAGCATCTAAATGGTACATCTCATCGTGGATCTGTAATCACTAAATTATACAAATAAAACAAAATTGTGTGCATTAAATTATGCAGAATTGGCTTTTAAAGGTTGAAAATATCTTTAGATACAGTGTTCATTTGATCGATTTTGATTCATTTGTATGCATTTCGCTTGTTATTTTGTGCATCAAAATGGTACATCTCGTCATTGACCTGTTACAACCAAGTTATCCCAACAAAACTAAATTTTATGTCTTGAATTATGCAAAAATGGCTTTTTAAGATAAAAAATATTGTCTGATACAGAATTCATTTGATAAATTTTGATTAGTTTGTATACATTTCATTTAATATTTTGGGCATTAAAATGGTACATCTCATCTTTGACCTGTAACCACTAAGTTCTACCAACAAAACAAAATTGTATGCATTAAATTATGCGAAATTGGCTTTTTAAGGTTGAAAATACCTTTAGATACAGTATTCATTTGATCGATTTTGATTCATTTATATACATTTAATTTGATATTTTGGGCATTAAAATGGTACATCTCATTTTTGACCCATAACCACTAAGTTATCCAACAAAGCAAAATTTTATGCATTAAATAATGCAAAAATGGCTTTTTGAGTTCAAAAATACCTTTAGATACAGTATTCGTTGGATGAATTGATTACAGTGTTCATTCGATAAATTTTGATTTGTTTGTATGCATTTCATTAGACCATTTGGACGCCCTAAATATCAATCTCATTTTTGACCCATAACCATTAAGTTATTCCAACAAAAATAAATTGTATGCATTAAATTATGCAAAAATGGCCTTTAAAAGTTGAAAATTTCTTCAGATACACTATTCATTTTTTGAATTTTGATTAAGTTGTATATTTCATTTGGTATTTTGAGCATCCAAATGCTACATCTCACCTTTGACCTGTAATCACTAAGGTATGTCAACAAAACAAAATTGTATGCATTGAATTATGCAGAAATGTTTGTTTATAGTTGAAAGTGGCCACTTTTACAGTGTGTTTAATTTCTCCGTAGAATTCTGCTCATGCACAATAGGTGTTTAGTGCACTAGTTAACAAGATAATCATTTCACTTGTGTGATTTTCTCCATTATTGTGGCGTAGACACATTTCCAGGCTTGTGCTTCACCTATAGTGGATTAAAAAAAACATATCAATCTTTAGCCAGTTGATTAGTATCCTAAACATAATGTTGGCTTAAAGTCAAAGAGTCACTTCATCACAGGTCACTCACTTTTTTTTTTTTTTTTGTGGGCACTATGTTTAAACTGTGGGAAATTTGCAGTGACGTCCATATATGGATGGTCTCATCATAGAATACCTTATGTATGCGAAACCATGCAGACGGACATCTAAACAAGGTCATTTATCATGAATTCATCTTGATGAATGGGATGTTTTTATATCTGGGAAAAAGGCATGGCATGCTAGCAGACCCAACAGTCAGTAAACGCACTGACAGCCTCATCAGCACAAATGGCAGATGGCAGCCAGGCTGAAATACATCATTTATCAAGACCAAATGAAGCATTTCTTAGTAACTCTTCATTTCCTTAGCAACTTCTGATTATTGTGAAGACAACAAAAGCTGTTTATAGTTCGTGACAGCACAACAATGAACAGCACAGGTTAACAGCGCAGAATTTGTAATGGCGCATGTTGTCACGTTTACCTTATCAGCAATGATATTGTGTGACAACACTGAAGCGTGGCATGATGGGTAGATTAATACTTTCATACATGCGTTGAAGGATCATGACTGGTGACTCTCTAGATAAATCTTAGTATTTAACTAATGCTACTTTCAAGAGTCCTATAAACATTCATTTGTGCCAGACATTATGTGGTAATGATGGTGTTTGACATGCTGTGGTTGCTATTTCAACCACATCACATCATGTCATGAAATCAATTTGGTTTGTTGATGTTTTTATTAATGTTATTAATGTTGTACACTGTAAAAATATCCATAAATGGGCAGTCTTCCATATTTTGGGATTCATATTTTTCCACTTATTATTTTATTTTCCAGATGAAGTCAGATTTAATTGTCTTTATATATTTTCTCGATCTACTAAAATGCTAATAAAAGCCACTTTGGAAGCTGTTAATTAAAGCATTTGTTTACATTGTAATGAGGAGTTAATCTGAGTTTTGTGTGTGTGTCCTTGCTATACAGTTTCATTTGGCTTAATATAACAAAAACAGTTTAAAGTATTATGCATTATGCTCAGTATTAACTTTTTGAAGTCTTTCCAATAACAGCAAACTAGCTTAACTAAACCATAAAAGCCCATAAATAGTTTTTATTGGCTTTTTTATTGACTTGAATAATGGCATCAATAAAACTGAATTCTAACAGGCTTCATCACACAATCATGCTTTCAGACTGAAAAATATGTAGCTATGCATGCA